AAAAAAGAAGATGGATCCCTCTGGTAATTTAATAGCATCCAGTAAGCTTAGTAACCTAGGGGTGTCTTTAATACATGTTGGTAATGATTCAACTGTGACTTTGAACAAAACATCAAGCCATTTAGCCAATGGTTCAAGTACCCCCCTGTGGCCGAGACTATTGGTCTGCCCGGTGGGTGGTCTGTACTTTTGTGCATCTTGGGTAGGGTATAAATTATAGGTGTTTTTGGTGTAGATTGGACCAAGTACTCTTGGAGGTTTATAGTAAGGTAGTTGGCCTTCACACCTCTCTGAACCAGGGCTGCTATCTGTTGCATGATCAGTGTGGTTGGACTTCCTTTAAGTTTTCTATAGACTTTTGTATCTTGTAGTTGTGAGAGTAATTCATCTCTATAATCCTGGTAGTTAAGGATCACAATGCTCCCACCCTTGTCTGCTGGTTGAATAACAATATTTTCATCATTCGACAGAGAGCGGATAATCATCTTCTCTTTATTACTGATGTTGCAGTTATGTTATTCTAGCTGCAATACAGAGGTAGTTTCACGTTGCATATTTCTCTAGAAGGTTCTGATAAACAGTTGTTGTGTGGGAGGGTCAAATGTGCTTTTAGGTTTGAATTCACTTATGGTTATTTCAGGTACTTGGGGCTGTCTTTAACCCCTTAAGGACACATGACATGTGTGACATGTCACAATTCCCTTTTATTCTAGTTTGGTCCTTAAGGAGTTAAAGAATTATTTTAGACGTAATGTCCTGCCAAATTTATAGACTTCAATGTCACTCTGAAAAAAGTTAGGGTAGTTGGTAGGCACAAAAGATAGTCCCTTATTAAGTAGCTGAATTTCCTTTGTGTTCACTGTCCTGTTGGATAAGTTGAAGACCGGTATTATCTTGGGGGACGTGGTGGTTTTCCCCTTGTCCCAACAGGGTCTACCCTTCTGGCCTTTTCTGGTAATGTACCTTCTCTTAGTCTTGAGGTGTACCTAGTGTTGATTCTGGATGAGGAAGCCGGATTTGTCTCTAAAAAAGACTCCTGAGTTGGTGGTCTCTTGGTGCAATTGCTTTGGGCTGGCTCAAAGTCTGAGGTTGATTTGCCTGAAGTACGGTCTATTGAAAATTGCTTTGTTCTGGTGATCAGTCTTCTGCGGCGAGCGAAGCATGGTCTCTCGCTCTGTACACTCATTCACCTACACACTCGATGTTCCTTATAGTCATTGCTTATTTTTTCTTGCTTCTCCCTTTTAAATCTTATCAAGTCAGTTTTATAATTTTTGATGTTTTGTTCCAGTTTAAGTACTTTTGGTGCAGATTCAACAGCAGAGAGTAGTAAGGTTTCTTTTGATTCCAATTCTGTGATCCTCTTTCTAACTGCTATTAAGTCCTATTTGACATCCTCAATTATGATGAGCATCAAGTTTAGTGAACAATTATTCAGGACAGAAATCCAGCTTTTGCAGTCCTTTGGTTTAAGGCGACCTACGGCTGGTATGTTCTTAATGGAATTGGGAGGAACTTATAGTACTCAGACAAGAAGAGACAATGCAGGTCCAAGTCTGTTTCCCTCTTTCTAAGTCTCAACAGTTCAAAATAAATTTCCTTTAGCGTTGTGGTGTTTGGTAGTTCTATACTCGAGCTGTCCCACCTAATCCTCTCAGCATCCTGTTCTGTATATTGGAATATTTCCTCCTATTCTGCAAGGCCTCCAGCAAGAACAAAAGAATCATCCATATGAAAAAAGCTTGTGGTGGTGTAAATTACTAGAGATATTCTGTGAGCAATAGTTTCACGTGGTGCACAAACAAAGTGTTTACAGTCGATATAGTACAATCACTGTTTAAGTGAGTAGGAACTTTTCCTTCGATCCAGGTGCATAGCAAGGCTCCTGCCTAAGGAGTCATGATACATACACATTGAAAAAGTGAAGTTACATTTTTATTTAATTTGCATTGTGTTTATTGGTTTTCTGTATGATTTTATGAATTTAAGGTAATATTAAACTGTAAAATTTGTGTTAAAATGCTGTAATTTTGGGGGTCTGAAACGGATTAATCTAATTTTCATTAATTCTTATGGAAAACTTTGATTCAGTTTTCGAACAAATCGGTCCTGAAACAGCCTTCTGAAATGGATTAAATTTGAGTTCCAAGGTTCCACTGTATATAAATATAAGAAAGTGTAGATTAAAATGCGTTATAGGATTATATCACAGTACCTTCACTACTGATTTAATGTCTGCTCAAATATGGCGGATCATTCAGGTGAACATCAGAACATTTATTCAATGATCATCAAGAAGAAAATAGTACAAACTGAATGTTATTTCAATCCTCGGTAACCAGAGGGTCAATATCCTTGAGAAAATATGTTTGAAAACTGAGCTGAAGAATTTATGTGTCAGCTTGTTGTCTAATCATGTTGTCTAGTACAAATTGTAAGTACACTGCAGTGAACTAGGCCTTTGGCAAAAGATAAAATAAAATAAAAAACATTTATAAACAAAACAAAGCTGTAATTAAAGAATTTGAGTTATTTGAAATATGACCATAGGCCGCAATTGACCTGTGTAGTGTGCAAATTAGGCCAAGGTTTTGCCATGTCTTATAAGTACCGTATATACTCGTGTATAAGTCGATCTCATGTATAAGTCGAGTGCAGTTTTGTGACCAACAATTGTGAAATATGCTATGCCTCATGGATAAGTCGAGGGTAAAACTTGGGGCTATGAAATTCTGTGATTTTTATAATTATATACACACACTCATACAAACACACACTCTGCATTATATATACACACACTCTGCATTATATACACACACACTTATACAAACACACACACTCATACAAACACACACTCTGCATTATATACACACACTCTGTGTATATAATGCAGAGTGTGTGTTTGTGTAGTGTGTGTGAACTGGGTGGAGGGAGGGCATTTTTATTATTAAAATTTTTTTTATTTTAATATTATTATTATTATTTTATTATTTTAATTTTATTTTGTCCCCCCTCCCTGCTTGTTAACTGGTCAGGGAGGAGGGCTATCTTAATCCCTGGTGGTCCAGTGGCATGGGCTGTGAAGTGGGGGGGCCGGCAGGAAGCATTTACTTACCTTTCCTGCAGCTCCTGTCAGCTCCCTTCTCCTCCGTTCCGGTCACCTCCACTGTAAGTCTCACAGTCTGGTTGCCGCGCGGATCGTTGCCATGGCTCTGACGGCCGCGGCTCTCTAAGTTGCCATAATACAGACAGTGACTCGAGTATAAGTCGAGTGGGGGTTTTTAAGCACAAAAAATGTGCTGAAAAACTAGACTTATACTCGAGTATATACTGTAGCTAGTATCCTAATTATTCTGCTTATTATCCATCTCACTAATAATTCCTTACAGGTATTCAGCCTTCACAAAATAGCTGAAGAATTATACGATCATTTGTGACATCTGTATTGTAGTTGATGCTTCTGTTGAGAAATAATGTATAGTTAATCCTCATTCACACATACAAGTGAACATTTATAAATGTGTGGATTTTAGGAACTGACTTTTGATTTTGTGCATTTTTAAATTAATAATGGCCAATGTCACTGATTTGAACAAAAAATGATTCCCATGTTGAAATTTTGACAAACTTGAGATTTAAACAAACTTAATTTTGAGTCAGTCTTTTGTAACAAAGCACTAGTATTTTAATGCACCTTTCTAATCAATTTGGAGATTAACCTAAAGCTTTTAAAAATAAAAAATTAATAGAAATGAATGTGTGCAAGCCTTTAATTAAGTGTGTGGTAAATGGGTCTGTAAAAGTGTTCCTAGTGTAATCCGTCTGGATAGAAAAACTACTGTCAGGAGCATATCTGGCTTAAACGATGAAACACTACCAACCTGATATCATAGCTGTTTAGATATGTCACACACAAAAAAGCCCACACTATACTATCTAGCAGTGTCGCAGATGACATCATAATTTCAAAATGTCTCCAGTGAAAGTTGCTGATTGAATCGAAACTATTTTTAAGTCATGTTTAACTGTTTCCATTGGACAGAATCCAAACTTAATCTTGGAATAAAACCAAGGATTCTCCTCGGAGAAATGTGGTAAACCTTCCCATTGTTTTTTTTTTTTATTTAATTCTTGCGGTTTCCTCAAGCTTCTATCAAAAAGCGAGGGAGCTGCCCTTTTTGTTATTCTTAACCTTCATGTGTGATGATAAATATTCCCTTCATTAGAAATCTTTACATTACACAAATGTCTAAGATTATGCACTTAACATAAACTGAAATTGTAAAGCATCAGTAGTGGAGGTATAACGAAATATTTCATACTGACTTTTTCTCAAGACATGTTTAGTTTTATGTTTGAATGCTTGTTCATACTTCCTTTCTGTTTAATACTTGGCATGTAAGTTTAAAAGTATGTATCAAGAACATGTTTATACAGTATATACTATTAAATGCATAGTGATGCTATGTCTTATGGGTCAGAGTCTAATATGAGGCTATTCTCATAAATGTATACTTTTATACAGTTTTGGCAAATGATTTATTTGCAAAGTTATATTATTATAAATCTGGTAAAATTTGCAAATGCAATCAGGCAATTTAACTGTCTAGTTGGCCTGGCAGCAGGTAGCAGCCAGGTCACTGATAAAGTCATCTAGCCAGTGGGACACAGAGAACATGGTCCTGTCACTTGACAGGCATTACTGTAAAGTGAATGCTTGTGTCAGAAAAGTTGAACCAATGGTTTATCTTCACCAGTTGGCAGTAAGATATTTCCGACTGGCTAAGCCCCCCTTAATGATGTGAGGGAACATGTGGTCTGCACCTCCCTCTTGAAGCAACACGTCTTGGTATATCAGGGTGCTGGCTCCATATTATGCATCAAGTGCTCTGATACAAAAATGTATGCATGTCACATAGTGATATCCCGAAAGGTTCGCCGAACAGTTCGCCGCAGACGGCGAACATAAACATAAACTTTGACCCTGTACCTCACAGTCAGCAGACACATTCCAGCCAATCAGCAGCAGACCCTCCCTCCCAGACCCTCCCACCTCCTGGACATCTCACTAAGAATGCAGCTTCACAATGAATGTAAAATGGATGCTGTCCAGGAGGTGGGAGGGTCTGGGAGGGAGGGTCTGCTGCTGATTGGCTGGAATGTGTCTGCTGACTGTGAGGTACAGGGTCAAAGTTTATGTTTATGTTCACCGTCCGCGGCGATCCATTTGGCGAACCGTCCGGGACATCACTAATGTCACATATTCATCCTCACCTTATGGTGTCTGCAGTAGAAATTGTCTTCCTGGCAATAACGGAAGTGCCACTTCTGCAGCACTACGGTGGACGCCGGCCGCTGCGGATCCATGCCATATTATAGCCCCAAGTCCACCCACGGTAATGACAACTTCAACGTGTGTGACATCACGCATAACATGCGCACTCACTCTTTGGGGTCAAAGGACGGTTACGGCCAATCAGATCTGTAGGAGGGTTATTTAAACTAATTTTTACTTTTTTTCATTGCCCTGTCATGGTTTCCCTTAGATGGTTATCCAAGAGTGTGTTCCTGATCGTGTGGTTCTGGTTATTGAGTTTGGCTTTTTGGCTTAGTTTTGATTTCCCTGACATCTGGTATCCTTGACTATTGGCTTTTCCTTATCGCTGTGTCCCTGACCTCGGTTAGTATATTGACTATTCTTGGGTACGTTAAGTCCAGCCATTCATGGGTTCGGTTAGACGTTACACTTAGTCCTAGGTGTAATACTATTCTGTGTGCTGGATCAACTGTAATCCTGACAATGCAGAACTAAAGGGAACAATAAAAGTGGTCCATACATACAAGAGGTGCAGACAGAAATTATATCTACATGCTCTGTCAAACAAAGTTCACAAAAAGCAATGACACATGGAGAGCCCTGAAAACATGCAGCCCTCACACAATCACACACCTCTCATCAAACACACAAAGTCATATACTCACATGTAGACCCCCACCACCATAAATTCATACATGATTGCCATAACACATTTGTAACTATATACTCACATAAGTCATATCACACAGAGTAGAAAAGGATGACAAGAAAGAGAAATTGCCACTAAATGCTATAGAAAAGAGAAATTAAAAAAAGTCAGAAAATTGATAATTTAGGAGGCAAAGAGTTATGGAAAATGAAAAAGTGCAAGTTAAATAACATAGGGAAGGAGATTTGAAGATGGGAGGGGTGGATTTGAAGAGGAGGGAGGTTAAAATAAAAAGCTGATGGAAAAGAGGCAAATTCAGCATGAGGCTGGGAAATATATAAATTAAATCCTTGTAATCCCTGGTTAAAAGCATTTGTGCTAGCACTACAAATGTATTTCCTGTGCATCAGTGGTGTGCTGGTACTCTCTCTCATGGTATCAGTCTGTTTCTGTCTAAAGTTGTGGTCCCTAACCCAGTCCTCATGGACCAGCAACAGCCCAGGTTTTGTCAGTATCTATGAAATGCTGTCATTTGAATATAAAAGGGAAATACATAAATCCTGGACTGATGGTGGTCCATGAGGACTGGGTTGGGGACCACTGGTCTAAAGCATGTAAAGATAACCAAATGTTAGCAGTGCTCTGAGTTAAGGCACAGAAACAGTGGAGAGTAGCAAGTGATGCACATAGTTACTCTAGTTAGCAAGAATTGAGTGGTGAGAAGATGAAATATAAAAACCATACTTGTTTAGTCTTTTTCTAATTGTACTGTCATGAAGTTTAACAGTAAACATGCCAACTGAGACCTGTAGCGTCTGAGATGTAACTCTTGTTTTTGTATTTTCTCAGAGCATTCCACGGTCTGACTTTGGGGTGAATTTACTGCGACATCCACTCCTGGGAAGATTGGCAACTGTCCTGAATGTTTTTTACTTTTAAATAATCTTTCTCACTGTACAATGATGGGCTTTAAATTGTTTGGAAATGGCCTTATAACCCTTCCCAGTTTGATGGGCAGCAGCAATTGCTTCTCTAAGGTTATTGCTGATGTCTTTCCTCCTTGGCATTGTGTTAACACACACCTGAATGCTCCAGACCAGCAAACTGCTAAAACTTTTTGCTGTTATAGAGGTGGTCACACTTGCTGATAATAAATTAATCAAGGGCATTTGATTAGCAGCACATGTCAGCTACTTACTTAATTCCTATTGAAGCAAGAAGGGTATATTTAGTTTTTGAGGCATGGCTTCTCCGTTTTGGCTTTATTTTTGTTAAATAAATAATAACCTGGTGTGATATACCTATTGTTCGTCTGAGGTTGTATTTACCTAATTTTAAGACCTGCTAATGTTAACAGATGATTGTTATTATGTCCTGATATATAAAACCATAGAATTCAAACAGGGTGTACTTTCTTTTTCCCATGATATTATATATCATGATACATTTCCATAAAATTATGTAAAAAGTTATCTAATGTTGATACAGCAAAGATAACATATTAGAGCAATCTATATAAGACATTCGGATATTGATGTGGTTTTCCTTCTTTAGCAGTGTTGGGCTTTTAGCAGACTGTTCTCAGCAGTATTACAAGGAGAGCATAAAGCTCACACTACCCCTAGGGAAGAGTCCTTTTCTCACAGTCACATAAAACACTGGGAAGCTTGTGTTTCTCAGATTTCTATTCTCACACCTTTAAAATTATGATGCTTGGCAACATGTCTATAAGAACAACTAATGACTTCCCTACTGGGATAGTAGTGAGATCCAAAAAAGAGATATTATATAGTTGTTATATGCCTAATTATATCATAGATCCTGAGTATATCTCTCGAACAATCCTTTTTTTTTCTATTTCATTTTGAAAATAGTATTATTTCCTTCCACAGCTTTTAAATGTGTTATAGTTAAATAAATGCTTTGCACCAATAGAAATATCTACCTGCAAATATAAGACAAACATCATCCAAAAATCATCTCAGAGGTAATATAAGCCAATGTCAGGAATATTCTTATATCTGATCTTTTTTATTCCTTTCTCAGTGTAGTACTCCATATATTCAGACCAGCCATGCCCCTATACTATTGCCCACAGAGGAAAGTACATAAATCTCCCTATTATCAGTAGTAAGTAAAATCCACATGCCAATTGTCAACCTTCTCTTACTGTTGACAAGTTTATCACTTTATCCAATCCATAGCTTTCCTCACTCTCTACAACTGATCTTTACATACTTAACTTCCAGAATATAAAAATACATGTAAGAATAATTCCTCCACCCTAGTTATTTTCCTCGATCATCTTGTGGCATTTATGGCCTGTACAGTGACCTACAAACTAGCTGCAACAATACCATATCATATAAAACTTTGTCACCTGTCCTGGAATCCAACATGTATTCCAGTATACCCTCCCATCCCACAGAAACAGGAGATGAGAAAAATGGATTGCTATGTGGCTCTTTCCTGGTTATTAACCACTCACCCATTCACATATTGGGTTTGGAACTTGGAACATAACTCGTTGTTAGTGGGTCATACTCATACCTGAATAATTGTCTTATCAGTTACTCATGCTTGATACTTTTTCAGTGTTTTAATATGTATGATCCGGAGGATGGATAGATGGCAGAAAGGTCAAGCTAAATGGCATCCTCAAAAGCACTTTTGGGTTAAACCATTCAAAACAATTAAAATCAAAATGGTGTGACAATCTCCAGAAACTAAAACTACTTCTAATACTACCAAAATATTGTCACAATGTTGCCCAGATTGTCCCTTTATGTATTCTATTTATCTCTTCATTAATGCAGCTCCAATGTAAGTTACATAGTTACATAGTTACATAGCTGAAAATAGACTTGCGTCCATCAAGTTCATCCTTCCTCATATATGTTGTTGCTGTTGATCCAAAAGAAGGCAAAAACCCCAGTCTGAAGCTCTTCCAATTTTGCAACAACCTGGGAAAAAAATTCCTTCTTGACTCCAAAATTGCAGTCAGATATCTCCTTGGATCAAGCAGCTATTACCCCACTAATTAGAAATTATATCCCTGTATGTTATGTTTTTTGATTTATCTAATTGCTGTTTAAACATCTGTATGGATTCTGATAAAACCACCTCTTCAGGCAGAGAATTCCATATCCTTATAGTTCTTACTGTAAAAAAACCCTAGATTAAATCTCCTTTCTTCCAGCCTAAATGCGTGACCTTGTGTCCTATGTATAGCCCTGTTTATCAATAGATTTCCAGATAGTGGTTTGCACTGGCCGCGAATATATTTTTATAATGTTATCATATCCCCTCTGAGGTGCCGTTTTTCCAAACTAAAGAGATTTACATTTTTTAACCTTTCTTCGTAACTAAAGTGCTCCATTCTTTTTATCAATTTGGTAGCTTGTCGCTGCACTTTTTCTAGTGTCATGATATTCTTCTTTAAAACAGGTGCACAAAATTGCACAGCATATTCAACGTTTGGACTTACCAGCAATTTATAAAGAGGCAAAATTATATTTTCATCCCTAGAATTTTTGCCCCTATATATACACGACAAAACCTTACTGGCCTTAGCAACTGCAGATTGAGATTGCATATTGCTGCCTGATTTGCTGTCTATAACAATTCCCAAATCCTTCTCGGTTATCCCTAATTCACTACCATTTAGTGTGTAAGTTGCTTGTGCATTCTTCACCCCTAAGTGCATAACTTTGCATTTCTCTACATTAAATTTCATCTGCCATTTTAGTGCCCGGTCCCCCAAGTTAAAAATATAATAAACTTTTATTTATTATAAACATTTTTATAAACTTAAAAACTTACCACAGTGCGTTCAATTTTGATAAAATTAAGAAATAGAGTTACAAAACAGATTGACAATAAGTAATCAAAAAAAAAAAAAAAACCTATTACTCTCTTTACAATAGTAGCACAGTTTTTGCAGTTAATGGGTCTTCTTGATCTTTTATCTAGGATTAGGAGTTTTTTTTTTGTTATGTTTTGATTATATTTTTATTTAAAGTATGATTGGATAAATTGAAGTTTATTAAGTTTTATGCTCACAAATAGATTTAATATGAAGACCAGGAAGTAGGAAGCAATGGGTATTTGACTAGAGGTTTAGGTTTAATACCTTATTATTATTGAAGCTATTTGGTAGTAGCAGTGAATATAAGATTTATAATTTTGTACATGAATTGGCT